GCCCTTCGCTGGACTCTTTCCAGTAGTTCCCTGTCCCTCTTGAACTGGGGAGCCCAGAACTGGACGCAGGATTCCAGTTGTGGCCTCCCCAGTGCAGAGTAGAGGGGCAGAATGACCTCCCTTGACCTGCTGGCCACACTCTTCCCTACGCAGCCCAGGATTCCGTTGGCCTCTTGGCCACAAGAGCACACTGTTTGCTCATTGTCATTTTGTTGACCACCAGGACCCCCAGATCCTTTTCTTCAGAGCTTGTCTCCAGCAGGTCCATGCCTAACCTGTATTGATGCTTAACATTCTTCTTCCCCCGGTGCAGCATCCTACACTTTTCCTTGTTGAACCTCATGAGGTTCTTCCTTGCCCAACTCTCCAGCCTGTCCAGATCTTGCTGGATGGCAGCATGGCCCTCTGGGGTGTCAGCCACCCCTCCCAGTTTGGGATCATCGGAAGATGGAGCTTTTTCTCCATCCCTGTGCTCTCTCCTCTCCTGCCTGTCCTCCCCCCGGGTGAAGGGTCTGGCCCCACCACCGCTCTCCATCCCCCTGCTCACGCCTTCCCTCTCCCCGTGCCAAAAGCCTTGTAATTAGGAAACATTAGCAGGCTCAAAACAGCTTTCATACCTGGAACATCATCCGTAATTGCGCTCGGCAGTGCTCTTCCCTGGCTATTAATGTCACTTTTATGAAGTAATGAGGAACAAAACACCCTGAGGCACTTAAAACATCTTTTTTAGATAATACGAGCCTTTGAGGAATGGAAGCATAAAATAACCTGACTCACGTTCCCCTGGCAGAGAAAGTGAGAGACGGAGCCGGGGGGAGAGAGGAGCGGTGGTGGGAGGGGGTGTGAGCTGATGGAGAGGCATCGTGGTGGGACAGGCAGCTGGTGACACAGGGATGGGTATGACACCAGGGTCTGTTCCCAGGATGTGGCACCGAAGGGAGAAGGTTGCCAGCCCATGGCTTTGTTAGGGTATGACCAGCCTGGCCAGGGCTTCGAAAGAAATGAGGTTGCACACCATCACCAAAGCTGAAACCACGTACTCAGCGGGCACAACAGCCTCTCCAGGCACATGGGAAGCCCTTGAATTGCTTTGGAAAAAAAAATCTGGACCCACATAAAGCGCTGGCAAAATGCAGGGGGGTTGCACGCGGGTGATGGAGAGGGGATACGAAATAGCTGCCTGCAGCTGCCATGGCTGACAGCTCCTTGTAAGAGAGATGCTCCAGGCCCCTCATAATCTCTATAACCCTCTGCTGTCCCCTCTCCAGCAGTTCCCTGTCCTTCTGGAACTGGGGAGCCCAGAACTGGACACGTGTCTTCCTATCTCTCCAGGCATGCAGTAGTCTTCATGAGCTACACAGTTACAGCACTGGGATTTAGGGTTGGTCCCATTTAACAGTTCACGACAAATATTTGAGAGCAGATTTGTGCTGCTTCTTGGCTTGTCCACCCATAACGGCCAATATTTGGGTGAGACCTGTCTGGATTGGGGGTGCCAGGGAAGGTTGGGGATGACCATGGGGCCCATCCGTGACCGTGACCCGTCCAATCAGCCTGGCATAGAGATGCTAAGATGCACGTGGGATTTCTGCCTGTGTTGGAGTTGACGAAGACCCCAAATTTAGTTGATCTTTTCTTGTTTTCAGTCTTCAATTCCCAAAAGCAGCCATCCTAGGGCTGTGCTATTTTATTTTTTTTCAGCTCAAGCTGCTGAAAACTGGGGTAAGAAACCAAAAGCTTCCCTTCTGCCCTGCCTTCCTCCATCCAGAAAACGAGTGTGGTAGCAGCCGTGCTTTGGGGCTTGACAGCAGACCACAGCATTGTAGGAACAAGTGAAGAAGAGAGGAACCAGAGAGGGGAGCAAAGGAATGAGAGGGAGAAGAGCAACAGTCGTCTATAAACGGGACCTTTCTGCCCCTTGGGGCAGGAGGGAGGAGATGGGAGGATGGGAAAGGGGCTTCTGGCTGCTGCTGGGGTGTCAGCTCCTTCTTCTAGGCTCTTCTCGTCTCTTCTGGGGCTGGAGGTCCAGGGGATGGATGAGCCACCTCTCCTAGCACCGGGGCTGCCGTTGGCATGGGCTCTGTGCAGGCTTTGGGTCCCTTTGGGTGGTGGCATCTCCCCATGGCATGCTGAGCTCCAGGAGTGACTGTTCATCCTGGCTTTGCAGATGCATCCTGGGTCTCAGGAAGGGATGTTGACATTAATTCCAGGGCACGGATACCCGCTGGACAGCAGGGGCTCCGGTGGGACGTGGGCTCTCCTGCTGTCCCCGATGGATGTGCTTGAAATCTCAGCGGAGACAGAGAAGAACATTGTCTTAATCCCCAGATCCCTGTGAATTATTTAGTGGGATCTCATCAAAATGATGTGTTTCTTGCTGTTAGAGCATCCATGGCAGCAGCTGCTGGCACCGCAGGGCTTTCAGCCACAGGGACCTGCTGCTCTTCAGTGCAGGAGAGCTCAACTCAAGGGATGCCCAAGGAAGCACTAGGATCAGATGGTACAGCAAAGGGCTACGAAGATGATTAGAGGACTAGAACATCTCTCTTACAAAGAGAGGCCGAGAGACTTGGGTCTTCTTAAACTGGAGAAGAGAAGACTGAGGGGGGACCTGATCAACACCTATAAATGGGTGTCAAGAGGACGGGGCCGGTCTTTTTTCAGTGGTGCCCAGGGACAAGACAAGAGGAAATGGGCACAGACTTGAGCATAAGAAGTTCCACCTAAACATGAGGAGGAACCTCTTTCCTGTGAGGGTGGCAGAGCCCTGGCAGAGGCTGCCCAGAGAGGTGGTGGAGTCTGCTTCTCTGGAGACATTCAAAACCCCACCTGGACACGTTCCTGTAGGACCTGCTCTGGGTGGCATTGCCTTGGGAGGGGGTTGGACTGGATGATCTCCAGAGGTCCCTTCCAACCTCTCTCACTCTGTGGTTCTGTGATCTGGCCCCAAACTCTCATGAGGGTTTTCCAAGTGGCATTTCATGTCGTTCCCAGCTGCGGGCAGCCCTGTGTGCTGGGAACCTGAGATTTGATAAGGGTCCTCTGGCAGGTTTTGGCTGAGTTTTGAGGCTCTGTTTGCCTCCCCCCCTAAAAAAACCCAACAAAGCAGCAAAGAGCAGGGGATGCTCGGTGGAAGGAGCTGGTGAGAGACCCCGCTCCCTGATGGGCACCATGAATAGAAGGATGGTGGGTAAGGTCCCCAGCTGGGGTGCAGGAGCCTGGCGGGGGGGATGAAGAGGAGGATTCCTGCAGGAAAGGCGGCATCACGCCGGTGGGTGAGTGCTGGAAGTGAGCTCGTTATCTGGCAATAATTGGATGGTGGGGCTGCGAGGCAAAGCCCAGGTGGGAATGGGAAACAATGCCAACCCCCCTGGGTCGGGGAGGACCTGGCAGCTCTCTGGTGTGAAAAGGTGTCTGGTAATGAAAGGGCATTGAATTCCATACTTGAGGGGGGGGGGAGAGGGTTTTTTTGTTGCAAAGGAGGTTTTTTTTTGCAAAGCTTTCCTGGCGTGGGATGAGAAGGGAGGGGGCTCGGCTGGATGCGGGAGGTTTTGTTGCTGATTTGGTAAACATGGCTTAACGACAGCCTTGAGCTGTGATCTTTGCTTTAAGCTTAGCCCAGCCGAGGAGGTGGACCCCGGGGGCAAACGTTCTGCTGTGCTTGTTGGCAGCGTGCAGAAGACCCTGCTTCCAAAAGAAAATAAAACCCTGTGTATTATATTTTATTTTATTTATTTATTTATATTTTATTTTTATTTTGTTTTATTTCATTTTATTTTGTTACTTTTACATCAGGGCTGTGGTTTTACTAGGGGGAAGCTTGGGGAGCAGGTGAGGAACGTGGTTGCCCCAATGGTTTTCCATTGAGGAAGAGGGGAAGAAGATGATTTTCCATTGAGGAATAGGGGAAGAAGATGATTTTTCCATTGAGGAAGAGGGGAAGAAGATGATTTTCCATTGAAGAAGCAGGGAAATCCTGTTCAGGGTGCAGGGTCAGCTGAGGCACGTGGGGAAGACCCACGGCGATGGGGCAGGTTGTTGTCACCGTGGTGCCCCCACCGAAGCCCCCAACACGCGTGAGCGCCGCCGTAGCCTCCCTCCTGGAAATTATGCATGATATTCAGAGCGCTGCTTAAAGATTGCCATATGAATAACGCCGTTACGAGGAGACTGTAAACATGGATTAGTTAAAATGAATGGATTATGAGGTTGTAAATCTGTCTGTAGGACTCTAATGCCATCATAGACTATTCACAGTTTGCCGCTGTCCCTTAATTGAAATTGTAGCCTGGATTATATTAATGCCCTTCTATAAATCGAATTGCAAATCTATATTCTCTCTCTCCGTGGCGGTAATGTTTTATTTAGTTAGTTTTCTTTGCCGGGGGGAAGTGATCCCATGGTGCTGAGAGCCTGGGGTCAGGCTGGCTCTCCAGCCCACGTGCTGCCTCAGGCTTTAATGAAGCCACAGCCTCATGTGCTGCTTTCCCTCCCGTCTCCAGGTGCCTGGATCATCTTTCTTCCCGTTTTTATGTCCTCCCAGGGTAGCTAAGGCTGTTGCCTGTGTGGAAAAAGATGTTTCAGCATCAGCTGGTAGCGATGAGGAGAGAGAGCAGGCATAGGGAATCACGGAATTGTCAGAGTTGGAAGGGACCTTCTAGAGATCATCCAGCCCAACTCCCCGGCCAAAGCAGGGTTGCCCAGAGCACATCACTCAGGAGCATCCAGGTGGGGCTTGAAGATCTCCAGAGAAGGGGACTCCACACCCTCCCTGGGCAGCCTGTTCCAGGGCTCTGCCACCCTCACCCCAAAGAAGTTCTTCCTCAGATTGGAGTGGAACTTCCCATGGTCCAGCTTGTGCCCGTTGCCCCTCGTCCTGTCCCTGGGAACCACTGAAAAGAGTCTGGCTCCATCCTCCTTCAACCCACCCTTTAGATCCTTGTCAGCATTAATAAGGTCTCCCCTCAGCCTTCTCTTCTCCAGGCTGAAGAGCCCCAGCTCTCTCAGCCTTTCCTCACCAGGGAGATGCTCCAATCCCTCCATCATCTCTGTTGCCCTTTGCTGGACTCTCTCCAGCAGTTCCCTGTCCCTCTTGAACTGGGGAGCCCAGAACTGGACGCAGGATTCCAGTTGTGGCCTCCCCAGTGCAGAGCAGAGGGGGAGAATGACCTCCCTCCACCTCCTGGCCACACTCTTCCCTACGCAGCCCAGGATCCCATTGGCCTCTTGGCCACAAGGGCACGTTGCTGGCAAGACAGGGCCAAGAGGGTGAGGATTTCTTCTGGTGCTGGCTTGGGTGGTGTTTCCGCACGTGCCTCACGTCTTGTGTGCACGATGGTGTTCCTGGTCCCTTCTGGGGCTTCGGGACCCTCCTTTCTGCCCTGTACAGGGTGAGTGGCACCTCCGTGGTTCATGGGTCACTGCTGGTCCCTCTGTCACCCTCTCACGGCCTCTCTCCCTTCTCCTTCCTCTAGTGGGAAGAAGTCAGTGGCTACGACGAAAACCTCAACACCATCCGTACATACCAGGTGTGCAACGTCTTCGAGCCCAACCAGAACAACTGGCTCCTGACCACGTTCATCAACCGGCGTGGAGCTCACCGCATCTACACCGAGATGCGCTTCACTGTGCGGGACTGCAGCAGCCTCCCCAACGTCCCCGGCTCCTGCAAGGAGACCTTCAACCTCTACTACTACGAGACAGACTCTGTCATTGCCACCAAGAAGTCCGCCTTCTGGACGGAGGCACCCTACCTCAAAGTGGACACCATTGCTGCTGACGAGAGCTTCTCCCAGGTGGACTTTGGTGGCAGGTTGATGAAGGTGAACACAGAAGTGAGAAGTTTTGGGCCTCTGACCCGTAATGGCTTTTACCTGGCTTTCCAGGACTATGGGGCTTGTATGTCTCTGCTGTCCGTCAGGGTCTTCTTCAAGAAGTGCCCCAGCGTGGTGCAGAACTTCGCCATCTTCCCGGAGACGATGACGGGAGCGGAGAGCACCTCTCTAGTGACTGCCCGTGGCACCTGCATCCCCAACGCCGAGGAGGTGGACGTGCCCATCAAACTGTACTGCAACGGGGACGGGGAGTGGATGGTCCCCATCGGCCGATGTACCTGCAAGGCTGGTTACGAGCCGGAGAACAACGTGGCTTGCAAAGGTGAGGTTGGCCTTGGGTAACAAGGTGCTTTCATTGTTTATAAGCCCTGCTTTAAGAAAATATTTGTGCCCAACCGCGCTCTTTTGGGCGATGCCTGATGTGAAGTTGCCTCTGCACCATCTACCTGCCCTGAAGTGGTTTTGCTCTGGGGACCAGGCAGGGTTTGTGGGGGGAGCCACAGTGGTCAACCTGTGGCTTCTTGGCCTGCTCCGCTGGGTGGCCAGACTCGGTGAGCGGCGTGGCGAGGGCGCGGGGGCCAGTGTGGCCACCGCCGCGAGGCCGCTGGAAGCCACCTCTGTGATCTGCGGCCTTCAAAGCGCCGCGCAGGCCGGCGTTTGCCGGCTGAGCCCCTTTCATCTGCCTCGTTATTTCCCCAGCAAAGCTGCAGGAGCCGGGCAGCCGCCGAGGGGCCTGGCTGCGGCGAAGCTGCTCTGATTCTCTGCGTTAATTGGAAGATGTTTTTGCTGGGTTTTGGGGGTTTTTTTTTTGGTTTTTTTTTTTTTTTTGGGTTCCCCCAGCCACGCCGCCAGCACGCTGCTGCCTGCTGGAGTCCTCTGCAGCCGGGCAGCCGCCGAGGGGCCTGGCTGCAGCGAAGCCGCTCTGATTCTCGGCGTTAATTGGAAGATTTTTTTGCTGGGTTTTGGGTTTTATTTTTTGGTTTTTTTTTTGGGTTCCCCCAGCCATGCCGCCAGCATGCTGCTGCCTGCTGGAGTCCTCCCCAGCACGGGGTTATAAATATGGAAATAGCGCTCGCTGCTTTTCATCTCCTTTCGCCATTCCGATGAATATTTCCCAAGTATCGTCGGAGGATTATTTCATGTACTTATTTATTTATTTATTTTGCTGTTAGCTTTACTCGCTGCCTTTTCCTTCTCCTCTCCCAAGTTAAGGTGTTGTTTTCGTACGCTGCTTGGAAGGAGGGAAGAGGGGGAGGCTTTCTGTATGAGAAGCCCTGTTTCATCAGTGCTTTCCAAATAACTTCTAGAAGGTGGGCACCAGCAGCCATTCCGATGAATATTTCCCAAGTATCGTTGGAGGATCTATTTATTTATTTATTTATTTTATTTTTTGATATTAGCTGTACTCGCTGCCCTTTCCTTCTCCTCTCCCAAGTTAAGGTGTTGTTTTCGTACGCTGCTTGGAAGGAGGGAAGAGGGGGAGGCTTTCTGTATGAGAAGCCCTGTTTCATCAGTGCTTTCCAAATAACTTCTAGAAGGTGGGCACCAGCAGGTCAAGGATGGATTGGGAACAAATTGAAGGTCAAAGGCTGATGTCAAATTGCTTTAGGGCTGGTTTTGAAGGGGGAGTAGAATCATAGAATAGTTCGTGTTGGAAGGGACCTTAAAGACCATCCAATTCCACCCCTCTGCCCTGGGCAGGGACACCTCCCACCAGACCAGGTTGCTCCAAGCCCCCTCCAACCTGGCCTGGAACCCCTCCAGGAATGGGGCAGCCACAGCTTCTCTGGGCAACCTGGGCCAGGCTCTCACCACCCTCACAGCAAAGAATTTATTTCTGGTAAATCTCCCCTCTTTCTGTTTAAAACCATTACCCCTCGTCCTATCTCTATGCTCCCTGACAAAAAGTCCCTAATATGTAATGGGTAATGGATGAATAATGGAAAGAGGTCTGACTTGGACCTCTTTTGGTGCAGGTGGCAACACGCGTAGCACTAGGCTTGTCTGTGATGCTCCTTGGGGTGGCCACCATGGTGTTTCTTTTCCACCTGTAACTCCAGGTATATGAAAATGTCAAAGCTGGGATTCAAGCTATGGAGAAACTTGTTTCTTCATTAGCTTTAAACCTGAGAACTTGTGTAGGTTTTCACCGTGACAAACCACATCCCTGCCTGGCCAAGGTGGGGATGGCGATGCTTTCCCATGCCAGGGCTCCAACAACTGGGAAACCACCAGAATCTGTGCACTCATGCGTCGCTTTCACATGGAACAGCAATGCTGGTGGATTCCTTTGAGTTTTGTCATTGACCCTCAACGTGGTTTTGTTCCCACCAGGAGATGGTCTAGTCCCTTGAGGAGCTGGAGGGCTCTTTGCAAACCAGAGTGTTTCTGGCGAGATGTTCCTCTGCCATCGAATAAACAAACAGAGCGCGCACATGCTTGTATGGCAAAATAACACTTATCTCATCGTGGAAAAATAAATACTAAATTTAGCTAAAGACTGGAATTGGGAAATACTGTCGTTTTGCCAGAAATGTAGGAAAACAATGACAATGTAAATGTCAAATGAATCTTTTGGTGGTGTTCAACTTTCTATCTCCTGCTGGCTGGAGCAGTGGAGGAGATTGAGGTCTTGACCGCCTCTGTATCCCTGGTAAGAGCGTGCTGCCACCCACCCAGTGCTCATAGTTCAGGGCAGGGATGGAGAAGGACGGCAGGATGTGCTCAGGGTGGATGTTGGACCCATCTCCGTGGCTTTTTTTGTTTCCTTTTCTCATGCAAATCCCATCGTGGTCATGATGTGTTCATGCTGTCAGGGCTGTGCCGAGCAGATCCCTGTGCATTGGGAAGGTGCTGAGTTTTCTGTCCCACAGTGCCCATCTCCAGCCAAGCTCCCATGCCTTGGTGGTGCTGATGCTGAAGGAGAAACCCCTTGTGCCACCCGAGTATGGGCTCTGCGGAGATCCCAACAAGCAGCCTTGGTGGTGCTGATGCTGAAGGAGAAACTCCTTGTGCCACCTGAGTGTGGGCTCTGCGGAGATCCCAACAAGCATTTAGCCTTGGCATGTGGAGCACACGTTACATTTGGGCTCCTTGAGGAGGAAATTCAGGATCATGGCAGGTCTAAGGGCATAGAAATGCCCTCTATGGGTCAGCCAGCAGCATTTCCTTGGCATGTGGAGCACACGTTACATTTGGGCTCCTTGAGGAGGAAATTCAGGATCATGGCAGGTCTAAGGGCATAGAAATGCCCTTTATGGGTCAGCCAGCAGCATTTGGGTCCAAGAAAAGCACCAGATCATCTAGTCCAACTCCCCCACCAAAGCCGGTCCACCCAGAGCAGGTACCTGGGTCCACCTTGAGCAGGTCCCTGAAAAGCACAAAAGTACGCTGTGGGTGCAGACCAAGCAGGTGGTTAAACGCCACCAAGCATTTGTGTGGTGACCATCCTTCTTTGATGACCCCATGAGCATGGTTGGGCACTGGTATGATACTGTCTCCAGAGCAGAGCTCTGATTCCTCCCCTCTCCCAGTCTTGTGAGAGTATTTCCCAGTTTCCACATCAGGAGGATGGACAAGAGGCTGGGATTGCACAGAGGACCTGCATGTTTGATGGTCCTGCTCAACGCTGGTGAGGAACCCCAAACCAATAAACCTGCCAGCCCCTCCTGGAAGTTCACTAAAACCAGTCCTAAAAGTCTGAGCCAGGGCTTCCATTCGGGCTGTTGGAAAATTAACTGTGTTTGAGTAAAAATCTGATCTTGGGTTGGACTCTGGCTTCTTGGTAGCTCATGTGCACCCTTTGGCCGTCAAGCTCCTCCTTGTATCCCCATGGACTTTGGAGACCATGAGGGAAGACCTGACCCTACTGCTGCCCTTCCCAAAGGTTGATGGGCAGGAGGTGGCACGTTACAAAGTTTAGAAGTAACAATTTTTTGGTTTTCTATTTGTCTTTGTGTTCTGGAAGGGGTCGAATTCCCCTGCCTTGTTCACTTTGCTGGGTTCTCCTGGCAGGGATGCTTCCAGGATCCGCATCCCGGCTCCCAGGAGGCACATGCTCCTGACATCTGCTCAAAGCCTTCATCAACCTGAGATGAGCCACTTAACAAGCCCGGGGGAATTGTCACCAAGGAAAAAAAAAAAAGGAAAAAAAAAAAAAATAAAACCACCTTGGTAAATTGAGGCTGAGAAAATGGGCTTAATTTCTCGGCGGTGGGGAAAAAAGAAATGGGGTTGAATTATTTAGCTCCCCCCCAACCCCTGCCTCGTCCCTGTCTCATCCCTCCCACCCCCTGGGATGGAGGCTGTGCCCATCACGGGGGTGTCAGAGCGGAGCGGTTTCGTGCTGACAGCAGCGCCGGGCGCCGCCGAGGGATTCATTAATCCCGGCTTTTATCGGCACTCGGAAGGCACAGGCAGAGCCCCAGCCTTCATCGGGGGTATTTTGAGCCCCAAAGAGATCATCCTCACATTTTAGGGTCAGAGTGATGGGGGAACAATGAGGGGTGTGTGTGTCGTTACCACCACAACGCTGAGATAGGGGTGGGAGGGAGGGAGATTTTTCTTTAATTGATCTGCCCCCGTTATTTTTTTCCATCCTGGGCTGGTTGGGATTTATTTGGTACTACCAGACCTCCTGGCTGGTGGGAAGCTCTCTGCTGGGTGATGGCAAGCCTGGTGGGGCTCATCCTCTTCGGCACCCGGTGTGGGTCAGGGCGGGAGGGAGGGTGTTACTGAACCCAGAGTGAATAATTCATCTGGTGTGAGGGCCCACGCTCCGTGTGGGTTGATATTAAATCCATTCATCTTGCTCTGCCCCGTCCCTCACCTTTGCTTTATGGCTTCCCTGCGTGGTCAAGGTGCAATGCATCACCCTGCTGGGCTGGAGGTGGGAGGAAAACCAGGAGTGGGGAGCACTGGGGGGGTCAGGGAAACCATTGGAGACCTTGGATGAATGCTCCGGGTGGTGGATTTTGCTTGTTCTCTTTGAGGAAGATGATTAAACCCTTTCTCTGCCGGCGTTCACTCTGAAACCTAATGATGGCAAGGTAACCCCTGGCTAGAATGATGGCAGTTGTGGGTCTCTTGGCTTTTAGCCCCTTGGACGCTGAGGATGGGGCACTGTATTTGTGTCTCCTGGAGTCAAGCTGGCTTTCTCTGTGACCTTCCCAGTACCAGGTGGTCACTCAGTTGGGTTTTCCTTCCGGCGAAAGCAAAAGTTGGGAAAAGCTAAACCAGCTTTGTGCTGGATTTTTACTGTGTAGGTATAAACCCAGGGAGGGGAGGGGTGAGAGGGGGGGGTCCTGCTGCTTCCCAGGCTTG